CCTTAAAAAGCAACTGTTGAAAGTAATTAGAAAATACTACTCTTTAACAAAAAACAAAAGTGTAACAAGTACTTACACTTACACTGTATAAGTACTTGTTCCATTACTTAAAATCTTAGAACTGCAGAGCTAGAAGGGACCCTATGGATCATTGAGTCCAGCTCCTGTCAAGGAGTCACAATGGGGAATCGAACTCTCAACCTCTGGCTCCACAGCCAAAGACTTAAATCACTTTCGAAATATAGCTTAGTTACATCCACATTACCCCAAAAGCAACTAGTTACACTTGACTGTGTTACCTATGATTAGCCACTTCCAAGCACTGTAGATTACTCATAGGTTCCTGTGCTTCAGTTTAAAATAATTAACAAAATGCCTCAAGTATGAGAGTTGATCAAAGGAATGATGTCTTTGGAAAACTGCCTCCACCTGCTTCTTACCAGCCAGAGAACAAACATATTGATGGATATCTGGCAAGATTGAATGGACTGCATGTACTGACAATTCCAAACTCTGATCCTACCCCAATGTGCTTCGGAGCCATGACATATCCTTCCCAGGAAACCTGGCAGGTGCCTCAGTTATAATCTTTTATACCAATAGGAAATTGTGTGTGTGTGTGCACTTGCACACAAATACAAACATGCAAAATTTAAAATGGTAGCATAGAAGAAAATAGGGGGTGGGTCTCCATCACCCCTTTCAATGTTGCAGCCTATCAAAAACATCACAGGATTGTCTCCTCCGATAACATTGCCCACAGCTCTATTTTGGAGTGAACTAGGCATCCACTACAGAACAGGCTGCTCAGGACTGCTCTGAATTGTGCCCAAAAACCTGTAGCTGTGCCAAACAAAAGTGGGACAGCTCTAAAAAAAATGATGGGTCAAAACTCTTGTAGACACCATTAAACAAATGGCATTGAAAGTGATCCAAATAGTGAGCTATTCTGCCAGTGCAGACATGCCCTGAGATGGCCCATTTTGGCTTTCTTTTTACAACCACTTGAAAAAGAGTTGCTCTTCCATCTGAGAGGAAACTGTCAATAACTCTCAGGTAGCAGATGCACCTAAAATGCTTCTGGCTGTTCCTTCCACAGCAGTCATTCCACTAAGAACATGAAGCAGCTTTGACAAGATATGTACAAGATTTGTAGGATAGTTTAAAGTTTTACAGCAATTTTGTAATTTATGTTCCTCTATATTTTAATTGTACATCACCCAGAGTAGTGATCTCGCTAGATGGGTGGTGTATAAAGCAAATGAATGAATAACTGAATGACCCAGTTGCTGTAGGATAAAAGGAAATTATGGAGAAAATGAGAACATTAAGCCAGTTATGACTAATCAATTGCAAGCATCTCAAAGAGATTAAAAATGTAGGAGCTGGCACAGAATCACTTAGATAATCAATTTACAAATGAGATAAGATGATCTAAGTTCTTAGAATTACACACAATTTAGGGTCAGTCTAGGTTTTAAAAGGAAAAATTATTTTCTCCTGCTTTCTCTTTTTCAAGTGTATTCTTAGAGATACATTCTTCAACAAAAATGCTGGCAGATTAAGCCTATGTTTACCTTTAAATGATCAACAACCAAACAGAGAAAGCTGTGATTTACATTTTGAATAGCAATGCATCACCTTAGTGGAGAAGACGGTGATCAGATGGCCTAGGAGTCCTCAGAATGCAGTGCTTCAACTGCAGTACTGCAGGTACTGTAAAAGGTCTGCTCATGACTTGCATTCAGATTCAGCAGATTCAGGTGGCCGGCTCAAGGCTGGCTTAGTCTTCCATGCTTTCGGGGTTGGTAAACTGAGTACTCAGCTCGCTGCAGTGGCAACTGCTCAGAGAGTGCTTTCCGTGTTATGGGGTAGTATATAAGCAGCACACTTTGCTGTGTTCCCTGTCCATCTTTTCTCTAGTGGCTGAATGGTGAGCAGCCTCAAGCCTTCCTCCCTGTCTTCCCTCCCTGTTTGCTATCTGATAAATTCTTAATCTTGTCCATCAGAAACTGAACAGAGACTTCTTGTATTGAAAGCACCATCTGTACAATCGGTGCTGGAAGGTGTGAATATTGATGAAATTAAAGAGGTTAATATTGATCTTTGTCCTATAGATGTGAAATGATTGCCATAATGCCACTCTATACCTGTGCAAGAGGTATAATATTATGTTGTATTACTGACTAGTGCAACTAGTGTACACTATGACTAGACTCTCATTTAATTGGCTAAAAGGAAAGGTCCTTTAAAATGCTTTATCTAAAGAAACTACCAATTTATTTTTTTCTTGAATAATTATATTAAGATATACTGTTAGTAACTTGGACTTTTATCTATATAGGTAATATAAGTCTTAAACTAGAATTTTTTCATGTTAAATACAATACTGTAATAGAAATCGCTGAGTGAAAGATAAATATATGTATATTGCAATATACTCTACGTGTTTAAGATTAAATTTCAGATAATGTATTATGTTAATCACTTTAAATCACTTTAAATTAGAAAGGCTTCTACTGAATTTAATATCTGATTGATTTGATTTGATTTGATTTGAAATATATATGCGTATATATACATATATATACACAGTGGAGAATATTGTATAATATGGTTTAAAGATGTTAGTAGGGCAATATGGTTTATGTAGTCAGGACTATATATTGGATATGATTGTATGGAAAACACCTCCCTGCATATTTGATTTTGTATGTTTTGTATGTCTGTCTGTGAGATATAGTAAAATAAAATAAAAATAAAATTAAATTTGTGGTGCGGGGTAAGATTAGATAATGTTGAAGATGGCTGAGATTCTATGCGGATAAGTACTTGTGATGTGGAATGGCGGCTCTAGTTTCATGATAACTTATATTACATAGTCTTCATGATTAGTAGTCTATTGCCTAAACACAGAACAGAAAGGAAATTGTGTGTCTTTTCAATGCTCTGGCAGACTTCCTGTTGTGTGATCAGCTGTGTCCCATCCTGTAACCACTGCGAGAAAGGACAAATAACAAGGAGATCTCAGAATCTCTCTCTCTCTCGCTCGCTCTGTGTGTGTGTGTGTGTGTGTGTGTGTGTGTGTGTGTGTGTGTTTACTGGATTGGCTCTCAGTGCAGCACTTTGCCAATGACAGCTGTCAAGCTCCACAGTAGCAGTGATGAATTGGAAGCATCCACTACCAATATTGGCAATGAAACACAATGAAATGTATAATATTTCTTGGAAATAATTTTTAAGAAACTGCATACTTTTGACCATTACTCCATCTTGTAATCCAGCAATCAACCAAGAAAGTTAGCCTTAGAAATATTAGGGTGAGTGAGGTGCTCTTACTCTTTAGAACGTATGGGATTATTCTTCAGAAATATCTCTCTGTGCTTATTTAGTATAATAAAACATGTCTTCATTACACCGCACCATTTTGGTAATTTAATCTTGAATATATTCCAGAATAGGTATCTGAAATTTATTATTTCTGTTGTCACCTGATATCTTTCTCCTTTCACAAAAGTCTGGGACAAATTATCACATAAAATAGCTAATATGATAGTATTAGCATTATTGGTACAGGGCTTGGTTTAACGTCTTACAACACATTATTAATGAACAATTCTTAATAATTTTTAAAAATATCCTTTTAAAAAAACAGCAGAAAAATGGCCAGACTCTCCCCAAAAGATCCTTAAAATATCATTTCAGTAAGTAATGTTATTTATTTACTCTCCAATAAAACATGTTAGAACAAAGGGAAATAAATTAATGTCATGTGTTATAATAACTTCTAGTTCTGCTTCTTTGTACCATTCACTTAATTTAAAAATTATGTTTAACTTCCCCCCTTTTTTGTTGTTGCTGTAATTAGTCTTGCTGACACTAAGTTTGTAATTAGTTCTTTTTGTGTCCATCCCCATTGATCATTCTCAAATATAGATAAAACCACCATTTTGGGGCATGTTTCCACACTGATACATGATATTTCATTAATTTCATTAAATACCATCTTCCAACATTTCAAAATGAAATATTTACACCATACAGTATATGAAAATAAGTACCAATATCTTGACCACATCTCCAACATAATGTACAATATTTGGAGCCAATAGAATTCAATTTTGCAGGTGTTAAATACTGACCCCAAATTATTGTATAACAATTTTGGTTTATCGTCATGGACATACTCTTTAAAATTCCTTTATTCTGTATATTCTTCCACACCATGGTACGCATTTCTTTACCAAAATCAGCTTCCCATATTGTTTTTAGACTATGTTGTTGGCCTTTTACCTCTATCAATATTTTATAAATGTTGCCTATTATGACTTTTATTTTTTTAAATCGTCTTCCTCTTTCTCTTCTGATCTATTATTTCTTCCAGTGTTATCATCTTTACACATTTATTAATTTTCCCCAATCTCTTGTCCTTTGTTTCAGTTGTATCACATTAAACCATGATGAATATACTATCACCTTCCAAACTCAACCTCATTTGTTCTCTACTAGACATCTTTTCTGTCTAATCTTTTAATATAATAATGTTTTTTTTTCTTTAATGGTTTCACGAACCCCTCTTTCAAATTTTGTGGAAATCTCTCTAACTAGTCAACTTTCAACTCAATAACCTTTCTGTGGCTATAAGTATATCTCTGTTTCTAGTTAGGCAACCTTGGGATTCCCCCCCCCCCCAAATTGCTATGTGGTACAAGCTATTCAGTTCAACCTAGTATTTCAATTTATTTGGAAGTGGCCTAGCTTGATTAGGTACATGACTTGTCACCAGGATCCAGTAACACAGTGGTCCCCAACCTTGGGCCTCCAGATGTTCTTGGACTACGACTCCCAGAAGCCTTCACCACCACCTCTGCTGGCCAGGATTTCTGGGAGTTGAAGTCCAAGAACATCTGGAGGCCCAAGGTTGGGGACCACTGCAGTAACAAACCTGCTGTCTTACTGTAGCTTGAGTATAACATGGCTTTGTACTTTCTCTGGAATAGATCTGCATCCCTTGGATATTCTCTCTGAAGTGCTTCCCATGAATGGGGCAAAGAGTGGGATACGAATGATTCAAATCCAAGGTGCTCGTGGCTTCCACTTCTCTGCATTACGCCCTCGCTTCCTCAGTTTCCCAGCATCGCGGATTTTCATTTATTGTGATCTCTTCCCAGAGGAATTTTCCATTGTGTTCACCATGAAAGCTTTCCACATGCAATCCAAGGTAAGAGTGTGGTGGATTTCATAGTGGAGGAGGAGGACATACACACTGATGAAGCCATTGCTGGTGAATTTAGTACTTACATTGATTTGGGAAACTTTTTATGTGTCTCACATTATGAACTGTACTGGGATCCATATATATGAATATCTGGAGTTAATTTGCAATGATATTAGCCATGTACTGATACAACTGGGCAAACAGAAAGCAAAAAAGGCAACCTATTAATCCATTCACATGCTGATCCTCTCTTCACATGACAACTTTCTTCCCACAGGTGTAAGTAGATAAAGGCTGCAATCCTATACACACCTGGGTGAGTAACATTGAATTCAATGGCGCTTACTGCTGTTTAGAAATGTATAGGATTGCACTGCATAAGAGAGCGATTCACCATGTGATCTATGCTTCAGTGAACAGGGTATATTGGGACCAATTGCATTTAATCCCTGAACAGTCTGATCATCTGCAATCACCAAGAATTAGGAAAAGTAAATAAAACAAAAAAGGAAAAAGGAAAAAAAGGAAAAAAGGCTGTCCTTAGCATTAGGCATTGTGAGGCAGGTGGTTCAGTTGATATATATGTAACAGCAATGCACCCAGGGACAGAAACTGTGCCCACTAAGCAGGGCAGCTCTGTTATTAAGTGAAGTGAGGCAGCAGTTCAGATAGCAGATCATCATTTATGCTTTTCTTGCTCTGGGAAGATCCATGCCATTCTGATGAGCTGCTGCTGCATAGCCTTCCAGTCCCTCTTCCCAAATGTTTGGCCCAGGGGGACACCATAAGCAGTAAGGCCTAGAAAATGGCCTGTAGTATTACAGATGATTTTCTAGGTCACCCCTCTCACAGAACCTGACTCTGCGTAACCTGTTGATTCTGATTTTTTTTAATTGCCAAAATAAATGTTTAAAAGGCAAAAATCCCCTAAAGGCTTTCCTATTCATTTATTACATTTTTAAAAGAATGAGTAAAAATCATTTGTTGTGTGGAGAAAATTAACAGTCGATTGTTATTTACAGGAATAATATCATTATGCCCTCACTACTTCAAAAAATGGAATGGGCAGTGTTAACATTTGTTACTTGCAAAGTATTATTTCCAAGCCTTGAGCCCATTACATCCACAAATAGTGTTCTAAAATAAATCCTGTTCCCTGCTGCCCCCGCAAACATTTTGGGATTAATCTGTTTTTAATATAATCTCAGCAAGTCACAAGCTAGTGGTCAAGGATGTTGAAATGAACCATTGAAGCTAATGCACTTATTTATGTTTTCAGAGAAATGAGTACATATTTACGGTTTTGGAGGAAAACAGTGACTCCCTGCTGCTTGGACTCCGATATTCCTGGAATAAACTCCATTTCCTTTTCTGGAGCAGAGAGCTCTCTAATGGCTGGGAGACCCGGGTCACTTTTCGAGATGTTTTTCTGGCAGATAATCAGTGGCACACACTGGTACTGGCAGTTTCCAGAGGCTCCTTCTCACTCACTGTGGACTGCAGCATCCCCACAGATGTGTACGTGAAGCACATAGAGTTCAGGGGTAATTTTACTACCACCACTATCCATGGGATGGGGCTGTGTGGGATCTAGCACCCTCCAGAAATGGGAACTCTGAAAGCTTTGGTCAATGGGCAAGAGTCCCTCTCACATAAAGAGCAAAGGTTTCCCCCAGAAAATGCAGTAAAACCACCAACCTCTTCCACATCCAAACAGAATCCTGGCAGGACCTTATAATCTAGTCTGGCTTTTGAGGGGCTTCTCACTAGCAATCCGAATGTGCTGTGCAGCTAGTTTGTCTTTTTCTCTTTAATGGATATGCTCCAGTTGGGAAAAAAGATGGACAACGCTCGGTAAAAAACAAGGGGGATTAGGTGTGGAAAACAATTGTAAAATTGTAAATTGACTAAACTCTTGTAAAAAATAATAATGAAAGAGGTGGGGCAATGATGTGATGAAACCCTCACCTGAACACATTCCAAGACTGAGAGTGTCATTACACCTCTGACAGTGAGTAACCAAAGAAGTCAAAGTGCAACATCACAGGGCCCCTCCATCTTTCATGGCAGGCAAGGAGAATAGGTGATTTATTTACATTTAAGGAAGCATTTTTTTAAAAAACAGTGTTTGTTGTGAAGGACAAATACATGCAAGTACTGCACTGAGGGGGCTGCCCCTAAGAAGTCTTCTTTTAACACTTGCATTGAGAAGCATCTTGTCGTTGAAGTAATATTACTGTGGTAACCAATACAGTACAGGGAAGGAGATTGCAGGCATTTCCAGAGATTGGGAAGAAGGAAGCATCACAGCAGAGTAAGACCTAGCAGTTTGCTGAAGCATTTGTAGGTTTCTGAAGCTTAGCTCAGCTGAAAACCTTCCACAGACAGTTCATGTGTACCTCTGCTATTAATTTAACCATAAAGTAGGCTACAGCTCCCAGCATTCCAAATCATTGGCAGTGTAGGTTAGGGTTGCTGGGATTTGCAGTCCAAGAGCATCTGGAAGGCTGTACTTTGTACATCCCTGTTTAACCGTTTCTTTGTCTCTGCTGTTAGTCATGATGGTGATGACTGTAGCCGATCAGATTCATATATGCTCTCATTTTCATCTACTTTAGGATTATGGATGCTGTTTTCCCCACATCCTTAACTGTGAGAGGATCTCGCTTTTATGTAGGAAGCAGGAGAAGGAGGAAAGGTTTCTTTACAGTGAGTATCATTTTTGATATTTGACTTTGTTGAGGAGGTTATTCTACCTGTTCAGCAAACAATGACTAGATTCTGCTGGATTATCAATTTTATACCACTTTATTGTCCTGGCTTCCTCCAAGCACTCTTGAGAACTGTGGTGTGGTAGGGGTGCAAATAACTCCTATTTAGAGATCTGAGAAATAGAGTTCACAAGACAGCCTGGGAAAGGTGGAAATTATATTATGCCAGTTTAATCAAGGATGAGCAACTTCCTGAAGCTCATGGTGCCATAGGTACTGGGTGGCTGGCTTGGGGGCACATGCATACACAGCTGCAAGTCACCATGTCCTCACAACCGTCACACACCCCTTGCTCTATGTTCCTGACAATCAAATCACACACTACCAGAAGCCCCCTTTCCCCATCCCCACAAGGAGTGTCCTCAATGCAATTGGATACGGGCCCATCAGCTGAAGAAGGGGTCCCCCCCAGGGGGTGGTTTCGCTCTTGTCCAGATTGACATCCTTCAGCCTGGAGACTTCAAATCCCAGCAGCTGAGGAGCTGCTTGTCTAAAGGTGAGACGATGCCTGAAGCTCTCTGGAAGTCTTACTGCGCCCCCTCACTCTTTGACTCTGCTTCTTCCGGTCCACAAACAAGACCTCAAGGGAGGAAACCCATTCCCTGAGTTCCTGGAGCTCCTTACAATGAGGATACACCCATGACTTTTGCCCAAGAGGCATATAGTCGTACATATGACACTTGGTGCAAAACACAGGATAGCCCTCAACCCACTGCTGTCTGTCTGGCTCCATGCTCGTATTTGTTTAGAGCTTTCCAAACCTCCTCTTGAGGGAAGTGACAGGCAGTATCTGCGGCCCTGGCTTCCTTGCCCTGCTGCTGAACTCGCACAGCTGGTAAACTCGCTATGTCTTCTTATCCCAGGCTTCATTGCAGGAGGCACTCATATACAGTATTGAAAAACAGTGTATCAAGTAACAATGGCAGAAAAATAAAAATTCTGAGTGGTAAAAACTAGAAGTAATTGTTATAGATTAAAATCAACTGGCACACTGGGAGACTTGACTAAGAAGTGAAGTATTTGCTTGATGTTAAAGAATATTAAAGTCAGTGCTAGGCAAGCTTCTCAGGGGAAGCTTGTAGCATGTCAGGTGCCAGAAGAACTACAAAAGCCCTCTGTTTGGTAATTACTTCAAAAGAATGGGAAACATAGAAGAAGGGATGCATGTGGAAGATGGCCCTCTCTTAGTTCGTTTTGAAGCTGACAATAGGTAAGATAATTATTGATTTAATACTGGAAAATGTGCACTATTTGGTTCTTAGGCAACTTGGAAACAGTGAGCTGAAGCTCTCCAGAACTGGGAATTCTGATTCAGATATAATTCTGTTTTCTCACCTAGTAAAACTGTTTTCATGCCACCAGGTTCTTTTTGCCTAAGAAAACACACCTCATGACAAAATGCTTCACCTTCTTTCAGTGTTAGCTTGCAAAGTATGCCTTTTTGTGACACTTAAAGAGCAACAACCTTTCGTTAAACATCAGGAACCTCTCATTTTCTTTTTAAACATGTTTCACTGGAAAGTTTGCTGACTCAATCTTAATTAGCTCAAATGGCTGAGGTTTGGCTGAGCTGCCATTACGTTCGTCGAGGCAGAGCTGAATCCAAATAACTCCCAGGCTGGAGATGCTGGAAATTTGTGCCAGCATAGAGATAGTAACTCTGGGCTAAGAGGGATCTGGTTCTGGCTTAGATTTGGTTTAGATCTGATACCAGCCACCACAAGAGGTGGTGCCAGCACAAGAGGCTTCTGCCTATTTGAAACCCACTACGTTTAGCATATCTCTGAGTTTGGATTGCTCAGACAGAGCAATTTCAGTAACAGGTAGAGCTAAGAGGAAAAGAAAAAGACATTAGATGAAGTCATTTATACCAATTTTCATCTTGCATTTACTGATGATTTATTAAATTGAATTCATGACAAAACAGCCTGCAGCATACATCACGAACTTAAATGCAGTGAAAAGCTAAACTATTTGCACCGAGGGTGATGGGTGTGGGCTCAGGATGGGTGGCCAGATAAGGTGTATTATGGGAGTGCTAGAATTGGCTCTGAGGAGAGAATAGGAAGATGTGGGTTAGGAAATCATTTCTAAGATACTATTAATTTCAGAGAGACTCCACAGCAGGAAGGAATCAGGTTACATACCCCAAAGTTCTATGGTGTTTTTCTAGGTCAATGAGAGTTGTGGGGAAAATAACCACTATACTCTGTTTACTCCTGGACACACCACATACTGTACATATAGGAACACTATTTTGGAAGATCAGGAGACATCATGTCCACCTTGTTCTGTTTTAGACTACAACTGATCAGTCTTCAGAAAATGTAGAAATTTGTGTTAATTATGTTAGCAAAGTGTGTCAGACTAGTAACTGGAGCTTCTGGCTATGAGCTGGAGTAATCATTCAGGATGTTCATGATAAGAAGGATTTTTTAAAATTGTTCCAAGAAATCCATTCAGTATTAAACAAGTTTTTAAAAACCTAGAGTTGATTATTGAATCCCCTAGAGCTGGCTTCTTTTTATGCAAGTATGCTGAAGACCAAGATGAAAGCACCCTCATGGCTGGACAAATTATTTCTTTGAAGAAGGGGGGACATGGTCTAACGGAGCAGCATTCTGCAAATGGTCCACTTATAGAAAATCAGGATTGCCCAAGAGCCCAATCCCATCTTGACATTTACCTCTGTATCATCCCCTTCCCCATTCTAACCAGGCAATGGTAATGGATGAACAACAGCTGCATGGCCATATTCTCCTCACCTGAAGACCACAGCAACAGAAAGCCACTTTCTTCCTTCATCCATCTCATGTATGATTTTCAAGTTTTTAGAGTTAGCTGTCATATGGCCTCCCAATAATCTCTTCTTTAGGTTAAAACATACCCAGTTTCTTCACATTTTCCACATAAGACTTGGTTTCCAGGCTCCTGACCACTTCTTTTTTTTTTGCCCTGCTCTGAACATACCTTCTATGGGCTCATCCATATGATGTGTGTGGCACAGATGGAGCCAAGTTAGAACAGTGATCCCTTTTCCTCATAGATGTGGAACCCCTCACTCCAGACCTTTGCGCCCATTTCACACTGTTTCCTTGAATGTAATCCTGATTTTCATAATTTTAATTTCCACACACATATCCCCTCTCTTCCTCTTCCCACCCAGAAACTCTTAGGATATGGAGTAGGAAGTCTGGAAGGCCATTGCATGCAGTGGTTAGAGTGTTGGAACATGACATAGGAAATCCAGGCTCAAGTTTTCCCTGAGACATGAAGCTTTGTGGTGGTTGACCTTGGGCCAGTCACTTTTAATTTACAGGGATAAGGAATAAGGAAAGAGAGACAGAGAATCCTATACCTCAGTCTTAAGCTTGGAGGAAATACAGGATGCAATGCAACAAATAAGCAAGTAAATACATTTGGAGTAGATAACATTCAGTCATATATACAGACCATAAACACTTTCTTCCACTCAGATCTCTTCTCTGATGCTTGTTTTTTCCTCTATGATGTATCTTATTTGTACATTTAATACTCTGCTTTCCCCCGACGTGATTTAAAAGAATATAAGAAAACAACTATTGAAGCAGATAAAAATGCACCAAATTACAATATTCAACCCCTTTTCTTTCTTTCTTTCTTTCTTTCTTTCTTTCTTTCTTTCTTTCTTTCTTTCTTTCTTTCTTTCTTTATT